TTTTCTCCTCGACACCGGTCTGCGATAGCTTTGAGGATGTCGCGGCTTTTTGGCACGAGGTAGCGAATCAGAGGCTGGCCCTGGGTCTGAGTCGCTGCCTTTCAAGCCTGAGCACCTGGCCAGCCGTTTGGCCCCGACAGGGCACTGCCATTTTCCAGAGCAAGTGTGGCTGTTCTGTGGTTTCCACTGTTTACGTGCTCGAGAACCCTGGCTTTTATTCCCTGGTTCCCTGCCCGCCTCCCACCAGTCTTTCAGGTCTCGTGTTTGGCCGAGAGCATCCCGGGAATCTCCAGTCACATCTCGCTGGTCCCAGCCACGTGGCTGGCCTGGGCTCCTGCCTGTGCCTGTTTGATGTGTGCCCCATGCACAGGCTGCCCCTTACCCAGAGGCTCTGCTCAAACGAAGGAGGGACCCGGCTCTGGGTGCGACCCAGGGGGAGGCCACGCTCAGACACCCTGTCCTGATGCCAATCATCCGCCTTTGATCCGGTTGCCTTTCAACTACAGCTTCCATCTTCTCCCTGTCTCCCTGCAGGCTCCAAAGGAAGCCCTGTGCAGATGCCAGGGCACATGATAGGAAGTGCCACATCCAAGCAGATCACAAATCTCAAGCCCTGGCCAGGATTTTCGAGAGGTAATTGAGGGTGTTTGCATTTTGCACCAGCAAAATCAGTACCGGTTTGTGCAGTAAGTCCATGGCTGCACTGCTGCCTAGTCTGGATGTGCAAATAGTCCTTGCTGAGAGCAAGCACAGCCTTTGGAGAGACAATCCAAACCTGAGATCTGAATCTCATCCATGTCAGCCCCAGAAAACTGGGATTTACTTTGCTAGCCCAAAACCAAGTAAGAAATTCAGTCGCTGGAAAACAATGCCAATCTCTTGATTTCAGTGATCTATTAGAGATGGGTGAAGCTGCATTCACAGCCCTTGCAGACCTTCCTGCTGAGGCAGGAAGTTTCTTCTAAGTGTATTTTCTATGCATCAGTACTAGAAATGTTAGCATTTGACAGTTATTTTCATCTTACTCATAACAAGAATTAACTGAGATTTCCATGGGCAGGTTATCTTCATGGTCTGGGATTAATTTTACTTTGGTTTTTAGCTAGTAGGTTTTAAATAGTTGCTTTTCAATTTCTTCCCTCGATCCACATCAGGCTGGATATCAAACTCACAAGCATTTGGGAGACATTATTAGCCTAACCAGAATCCAGGTTTGACTCCAAACAGAGGCAGCTTTTTTATTTACTTTGAAATCCACAGCTGAAGCCCAGATTCATGTCTGGGTTTGGATCCAGGTATCCCATAGAGCACCAGAGTACAGAGGTCCCCCCTCCTCCACCTAACTCCCCAAACTAGTCCAAAAGAGTGCATTCCTGGGCAGCCTGTTTCTAGGAATAGTATCAGTATATGAGCCTTGTAACTCATTAATGCTAATAGCAGTTGCATAATGCACAGTTGAAATGTGACTGTACAGCGAGCTAAGAACATATCCCAGCTACACGACTGCCTGGCAAAGTTTCTGATGAGCAGCTTTCCTCACCATTACAGCTGGATTTACCTTTGATTATAAATGCTCTGGAGGGGCCACATTTCAAGGTATCACAAAGTCATGCCACTAACTGTAGCATAATCCTCTGCCTAAATGCTGCACACGTGGCCACGGTCCGGAAGGAGGCGTGAGCTCACCTTGTTGTTGCACTCTCTGTGCAAAACCTCAGGAGATGTCCAGAAGGGTCACTCAGTGCACCTCACTGACAGGGAGCTGTCACGTTGTCAGAGATGGCACGTTGCCCTCGAGCCCTGGGGATTTCAGTGGAAATCTCCACCTTCCCAGGACCTGCTAACTCCTGGTGTGCTGCACACAAGCACACAAGTGATTTCTTTCATATCCTGCAGATTTGGTCGGTTCCCATGACCCAGTGCAGCTGTCTCACCCCATGCCTTGCTAAGAGAACACTAACTATGCCCTCCTCAAGGCCCTGTTTCTCTTCTGCCATAGTCTCATTTTAATGCCCTTGACTGTCTTTGGATAAAAAAGCTTTAGACCGTATTTAAAATCCAAGGCCAGTTGTGTCCTAGGCTTTGAAGAGCATTGAAGGTTGCTCCCTCCCAGCTTCTGGGTCTGCTGCAGTGTCACTTCCATCTGGGAATGTGTTCTGCTTGTGGCTGAGTGAAATGAATGATGGGGCTGAATTATGAAGACCTGGGGCTGTGGGAGGATGAAAAGTGCTGCTGCAACTTTGAAACAATGGAAAATATGAAATAAACCTCAATTCCCTGCTGGCACATATAGGCAGTGTAAATAAATCCCATAATTATGTAAGTAACAGACAGCTCCTAGGAGCTGGAGCACCCTCTGGAATAGCAGGCAGAGGAGTCTGCTACTCTGCAATAGATGGATCATGCTTGGCTAAATTACACAATTCATTTAAATGCATGCTGTACAGTAACACAATTTTTGAAAACCATACTGTTTGGCCCACCAAAGTGATTCCCAGAAGTAATTCCTGCGAGGAGCACACACCCAAGCCAGTCAGAATTTCTGGAATGACATTCCAGTTGCTCAACACCTGGTTATGCAGATAGAAGAGAAAACAGAGCGACGCCTTAGCCAGTGTAAGAGATAAGGGTGTGAGAATCCAAGCCTGGCTAGCACATGAAAGTGCCGATGACCTCGCCCCACGTCCAGGATTGCTCAAGCCAGAGGAGATGCCAGTATCAATACACACATCTTCCTTCAGAGTCACAGGACTCTTCTCAGTGCTGGCTGCTGCCCTCAGATCTTAACCCCAGAACGGGGGGAAAGCGCCACGCTTGCTGAACAACCTGCTCACAAAGCTGTTTGTCTCTGCAAACCAACTGCAGAGAAGGATTAAGGAAATTCTCTTTTAATATTCAATCTAGTGGAAGACCTTCCACCTCTTCAGATAATCTCACGTGCAATTAGAGGGAGGTCAAAGTAACGGGTTCTCCGTTTTCTTCAAAACGAGACCCGTGGCTCCACTGTATTCCCTCCCATGGAATGACTGGGTAACCTTCCCTGGACCTAACAGAAAGCAGCTCCTCTGGGTCAAAATTCCTGAGTGTATTCACCTTTTTTATAAAACAACTACCAGCTTGAAGCAAATACCATTTTGGATCTGTGTCCTCAGTATCTACCAGGAACGGGCTGAAAATTCTCATTTTGCATCCCTAAACAGAAGCAAGGATGTGTATCAATAGCAGTCAGTTAATTCATTGACTAGCAGATTTTGGCAGCTGTAGCCCAAGCCCTGAGGTAAGGTAGGAGGGGTAAGGGGAGCTGCTTGATGTGGATTCCTCCTTGGCCCAGCTGAGGTGCAGAGACCACTTTGCAAGAGTGAGAGGCAGGGGAACTGAGGGGGGGTACAAGCTGGGGATAGATGCTGGGTGAAGGCACACCTAAATCCTCATGCCAGTGACACCCGGGGAAGTTCTGGAAGGAGTCCAAATCCAAGCAGCCTGGTGCTAATATAACAGGCCCAGCACGTGTCCTGCAAACCCCTGGCTGAAATAAAGACCACAGGTACCTGGTTGCAGGGCAGCGGTTCACATTTCAGGTAAAGGGAGACTTTCAGCACCTGTAAGTGCCCCTCGTGCTACAGTTGGGTTCCTCACCTGGCTACAGCTTTGACCAAAGTGGTTAATCCAAACCTGCAAAGGCAGCTTTGGCAAACAAAGACCTGTGAGCATGAGTAGGCAGGATTAGGTGAGGGAAAAACACAGCGAGTGGTGCCTCTCCCATAGGAAGGGGAGATGCTTCCAGCAGGTGCTGGTAGCTGTCCCAAAAGCACTAAGGAGTCCCTCCATCAGTGAACTGGCTGGCAACTTCTGCTTTTCCTTATTACCAATGAATCAAACCCTTCATTCCCACCCAGGAAGTTCCTAAGGTATATGTTTTTCTACTGACTTCTCTGTTCTCCAAGGAACAGATGGTAAAGGTAATAAAAGGTAATAAATTAGGAAAAACTTTTTTTTTTTTACCTTTCTAACAGTTTCACAATAACTGACACACAAAAAAAATCACATGGAAGCCTTCTCTGACTTGAGATATGAGGTTATAATAAAGCATGTCTGGGTGTCTCCAAATGGTGTGCAAGACCCTTAATTCTTCCCGGAAGAAAAGAATCTTTTAGTTTCTGGATCTGGCTGTCTAATGTCCTCACCTAAATATTTTTCTCTGTAACTTGTCACAGTTTCTGTAACTTTCACAGTAACAGACAGATGTGAGACACTGCCCAGCTGAGGAAACCCCTTGGCCAGCACTAAAAAGTCCCCCAAGAGTTCTTAGTGCTTGTTAGCCAGCTCTCTACCCAGAAGGCAGAGCATGGGGCAAGTGACCAAGTGTGTTCATTTTATCAGACAAACCCATGCCACTGAGAACAGATACATTAACAATTCCTTTGATTTAAAATGGAATAAAAGATATGAAGTCAATAAGAAGGTTTGGGTTTACCTCAAAGCACTGCTCTGCCTGTTAGCTGAATGAGTGTGCCAGGGCAGCTTCCCTTCAGTATCACTTTGGTTCTATATGCTTTCTGGGAAGAGCAGTGGTTTCTGGGCCATTCAGTATTTGCCTGCATGGCTGGCGTGTTTCCCTCCTGCTCCCCTGCGCTGCTAACGCACTTTCCCTGGGAGATGGAATGTTTGCCATACCAATATAGCAACTAAATGAATGAAAGTTCAAGTGGGGCTATAAATAGAAAGGGCACCAGGTTTTCACAGTGCACATATAAGCTACTCCACACCCACTTCCTTTTGTCTGCCATTAACTCTGAGATCTGAAGCGGAATAACCTTTCTGCACTCTGGAAGAACAAACAGCAGAACAATTAAGAGACCAAACTGTTATGAGGAAGTCACTGAAGTGCAGTGTAGGAAAGATGGACAGACTATTTTAAATAGATAGGTAGATAGATAGATAGATAGATAGATAGATAGATAGGCCAGAGTTGCCAAATAATAAATTTTAGCAAGACTTACAGGAGAATGTGGGGAAGGCTGAATAAGACTGCTTTGGGTGGAATTTCATTCTGCCCATCCTTCTTTAGCCGTCCCTCTCCTGCATGGTGTGGAGCAGTGCCAGAGCTCAGGCAATAATGGGAAAGGCACAGTGGCCCCTCCTGGTGGAAACCAGCTTCCAGGGCTGTGGGCTGCAAAGGAGGGAGAAAGATACTTGATGAGATGCAAAATAAGAAAGAAAAGCTAAACAAAAAGAAACAACTTTTTTTTTTTTTTTTAAAGACAAAACCTGTTTGCTTTTCCTACCAAAGACAGAGCACACTGGCACTATCCTAGCATTGCTTTTCCATGTAAATAAATGCCTTTTCATCTTGGCACAAGACATGTTTAAGACAACTATGGGTGGAAGGGTGGGGGTTACAAAGGCAAAAGAGGTGGGGAGGTGCTCCAGGAGGCAGTGTCAGCTCAGGACTCAAAGCTCACAAAGCCTTCCACCCCACTGCATTTTCTCATGCTTCCCCTGGACTGGAACTGGCTAGTTCTCTCGAGGAAGGCTGTTAGTAGTCAATAATTGACACTGAGATAAAAACCAAATAGACCTGGGAGAAAGTAGCTGAGTCACGCAAGGTTAGATTAGATGGCAATTTACTATTTTTAGTTTTAGCTGTTGGATACCAAACAAAATCTTACTGAAAAGAAACTCTTGCCCCAAATGTAGGCTCATAAAAATGTAACAAGTTCACAGGTTGGGTTTATTATGGTTTCGGTGTGTGATACAAGAATTGCATGTACAAAGGGAACCTTTTCTCTGTTTAAGGACGTTCTGTGGAGGTTGGCACGGCCGACACTCAGCCTGGTGGGAGTTTCACAGTTTCCATGTACAAGTGCAATAATGAGTAATAGAACAAAGTATCACAACATGTTCCAATGTGTCTGGTCGCCTGTTGAGAACTCCAGAGCATTTCTGCCCAGCTGTCTGAACAGAGCTCCTGGCTGATCCTTATCGTTTCGCTCCTCACAATGGAGGTGGCTGTACCTTTTTTTTCTCTTTAAAACTGTTGAGGAAATTAGTTGGAAATGCTGACAGAACAAATTCCTGCCTTTTCTTCTGAGCCACTGGCCATGCCAGATATTTTCTCTCTCATCCCCTTTACCTCAGTGTGCACTGTGCTGGGGCTGGCTGGAGAGGTGACTGCTGTTCACACTGCTGAGCGGGTCTCTCCTGCAATGACCTGGTGCATCAGCACTTGTTATCCCTGGGTCTACATTTACCCAGTCACATGGTCACTGCCAGCCTGTTTTCTCTCCCATCTGTCCCAAAACAGCCCTAAAGGGAAGTGCCCTCCATGAGAAAGGAACTTTAGTTGTGTTTAGAAAAGTGCTGCAGCGCAAAGCTGCTTATCCCAGGACTTGCACGACTGTACACAATGTGAGCAAGGGAATAATCTGTCTGGGAAGATGCTGCTGCACATGAAAGCATCTGCCTGCAGCTAGATTCCATCAAAGAGCAGATCTGCGGATTGATTTTCCCAGTATGACATCTTCCATCTGCAGAGCACCCAGAGGCTCTTTTATTGGCCCCGCTGTTGTTCGTGATTCAAGCAACATGATGAAACAGCTCACAAAAAGGCACTCAGCTCCCAAACACTGCCCCAGCAGCACAAAAAGGCCCAGGATGGGGTGATGGCAGAAGCAGAGCCACGGTGCAGGGGCAAGGGAGGAGCACAGGAAATGCTGTGAGGACAGGCAACGGGAGCGGTGATGTCCCACACTGGCAACTGCATTTCCCAGCCTGTGTGTTTATGGAAGCCCACCTCATGTTCTGGGGACAAAGGCCAAGAGAAGCCCTTCGTGCCAGCACAGCTCACCTGAGCAGGGCACCAGGAGCGCTGCAGCTGCTGGCAGTGAAAGCTGGCACGTTCGGTTCCCCTTTCCGTCTCCGCGCTTGAGCTCTCCACACGCTCGGGCACATGTTTGTGCAGTTTTATTTCTTTTGCAATGATGTCACAGGCAACCTCTTGATGACTTGTGACCCACAGCAGGCCAGGTACCACTGGCTTACGAAAGGAGAAGAAAGTCACGAAGAAAGCTGCAATAACAGTAATTAAATAAACTCAGCAACTAAAAGGACAGAAGTGGCACATAATTTCACAGTAAGCTGCCATGGATATTTCAGGAGGAGACAGTGAATAAGGGAGGCTTTTGGTGTACCTAAGAGATTTGGACACAGCAGAATATGTTCCCTGGGGCTGAGCACCTGAAGCCTGAATAGCCACATCAAACATTTTTGGGGCATAGCACACAGCATGTCAATTTGCCAGGGACTGGGCTCTGCCACGGGATATGCTAATAGTGCACAAGAGGTCTGAATGCTTCCCTGGAGTAACCACACAAATTTACATATCCTTCTTCAGAAATGGATCTTATTAGACGGCCTGAACAATGTATTTAGCACAAGTGTGCTTTTATGTCCTCAACCTACCAGAAAGCCCTATTAGATCATTATGCTGCTGAAATGTAGTCCCTCACATGTCAGAGAGAAGCTATTCCTGGGACATTCCCTCTGCTTTTAATTGATGGGAAAGGAATATGTCGTTCCCCAAAAGCATTTCTTACTGATTCACTTTTCTTTATCATCTGATTTACAGGTCTGATCTTGACTTCTCACCACACCCAGATCTCCCATTGACTTCAAGGAACAGGGCTCTGTGGGGGCAGTGTGAAAGTCACTCAATAAAGGTTTTCAAGAGGAAGCTGCTGAATTCATCAACAGCAGAATTTACATAGATCTAAAAGATGCCAGCAGGTTCGCTATGGCAGGTATGACGGGCTGTGTCAACAGCAGTGGCCCGATGCCGTGAAGAGGGGCCGTGAAGAAAGGCCCCTGTGTTTGCAGTGACAGCCCTTCCCACTCCCCACAGGCTGGCACGTCCAGTGTGTGCACTGTCTGCGTCAGCAGGGACTCCCCTCCTGCACTACCGGGAGGGGAAGGAGCTCCAACAAACACCACTTGTGGCTCAGGGGGGACTGTGATGTGTACAGACACAACACCCACTGCACAGTGACAGCAGAAGCCGAAGCCTCTAAGAGAAACCAGAACGCATTGTGATTATTTCATTTTCTACATGAAGAATTTGCCAGACACTCAGCTAATCCTCAGCTCAAATTAGAGATCTCTTGTGCGAGATGCTCCATAATCACAGAAAGCACGAGCTCCCTTTAGAGACAGACAAAACCCAGGAGTTACAAAGGGCTACACAGAGCCACGGGCAATGCTGCAGCAAGGGAAAGCCTGATCTTGGAGAGACACTGGCACACACTGAGGCTTTTTCATCTGCATCCTTATTACATGGCACATCCACAGCAGAGTGGTCTTGTGTCTAGATAAACCTAATACTGCAGTGATTACTTATAAACACTGCTTCTGTAAGGTTTGGAGGGGAAGAAATCTTTTCCTTCTGCTGAGGAGAAAGAGAAATGACACCCTCGAACAGCATAATTTGTATAAACTATTGTGCATTTTACCCACGGCTCATCTGCCAAGTTCTCTTGTTTGGGAGGAGCCTGCGTGCGTTTTGATGTGCAAAGCAGGATAATGGATCACCATTATTAAAGGGCTTACAAATTGGGCAGGCAAGCCCCAGGTGAGAGGTCACTCTGACTGTACCAAAGGAAAGCTTGAGCTGAGTGAGGAAGCTTGGGTTTGACTGAGATGACAGGGAAAAGAGGTGTGCTCTGCAAGACTGGAGGTCTGTGTGTCTGCACAGAAACCAGCTACCGCTCTTGGGTTTGTTCTCAGATTCTCACTCTGCCCTTTGTGGAGTGCACTGAACACGTGTGACAACACAGTTCCGCCCACCCCGGGCTCCTAATAAATCCAGCTGCTGAGAGAGGAATGGGAAACAAACTCCTCATCCTGTGGGGCTGGGGTGGGGTAAGGAGCAGGAGAAAAGCTGTCTGAATGACATGGGAAGCTTGAGCTGTCCTTCCCAGAGGGTGAAGTCCTGGGATGGAGGATGGAGCCACAGCTTCATTTGTTCCAGAGAAACAGCCCTACACAGACGGCTGGTTGCCATGGGTGTTTGGCTGAAGGGTCACATCATAATAACAGCAACGATACTTGTTTAAAGTAGGACAAGTGTTGCAGCTGAAAGGGATGCCAGCCCTTAGGAAAAAAATCCACCGTTGTGCCAGAGCAGGCAGGCAGAGCTAATAAACAAGACTGAGGTGTCACCTTACCTGCTTGGAGCCTATTGCTGCTCCCCAGTGCTCAGGCTGACATTGTCACCAGTATCAGGGGTGGAAAACACAGGCTTCAGCCACAAGAGAGAAGTCTCATGAAACAAAACTGGAAAGAGGAATCAACAATTTGGGTTTCCTAGAAGGCTGGGGAGGGCCTTAATCCAGCAATTCCCAGAAAACAGTCTGTAGTGTCACTGGCTATGGTGACAGCGCTCTCATCGCAGAGCAATCCTTGCCTTTTACAGCTGAAAATCCTGCAATTACATGAGTTTCTCACCTTCTATTTTAAAGAAAGACAGGAAAAAGAACCACCTCTGTAGCCCACAGGGTTACAGAAAGATATTGAAATGGTTGACCCCTGAATTCTGAAGGCTGATCAGCAAAAAAATGCAGTTCAAAATATGTAGGCTAAAATACTGTGTCATATCAAGTTTACACCAATTCTAGGAGCTTTTTGAGGGCTCTACTTGTAATTTCTGAGTGTGAGGGTTTAGTTACACTGTGCTGTATAACAGCCATGCTTGTTGTCCTAAAAATTCCCTATTAAATACACTTCATTTACAAGCAAAGAAATGCAAATCTAACTCCTGACTCCTTGCTCTTTGGCCCCAGCCATGCTCTGGCAGCAGTAGTCTAGACAGGACAATTTGGGATGGAAGCCTTACTTAAGGCCTCTGGAGGAGCCTCAGGTACACATAAGCTTTCAAACTCTTGTGTTCAGCCCTACCTTAACCCAAATCAGAGAGGCTTCATTTAGTCTTTAACTCCTTCCCTTCATGGCCCTCACACAGATGTCTTCCTAGAACAGAACACTCTCCTCTCCACCCCTACACATCGCTGTTCTCCAAGCTGCCAAAAGCTTTGCCTATTTTTCCTTTACATTTCATCAGACTGTGGCAGTGAAGACCCTCCTCAAACTCTCTAGCCCGGATGCAGCACGAGTCTTCCT